AATTGTATTCCGAAGGCAACTCAAAAGGTATAGTACAAATCTGGTGATTAACGAACAAGCATGAGGCGGTGTTCTAATAGACCTGGAGATGGTCTGGCTATATAGGAGACCGTTTGGCACGTTTGTATTTTGACTTTTTCCATCAATAACCTCATTAACAATTACATCACCATACCTTTTACGAATCTCCTTACGTCTACAAGTTTTCTTTCTTCTTTGTCTCATAGAAACTCTTCATTTCTTCTTATTTCAACTCAAAACGCCATAATTCATAATGCATACTTCAAGTATTGCCTTTGGAATTTCATTCCTCTCGACCCTTGTTGCCGCAGCTCCTTTCTCGGTCGATAATAGCTTCCTTGAAGCTGTAACAGCAACCAATACAGGGCCGTTACTAGCAATTCAAACCGCAGCCCATGGTTCTCTCTCCAACATCCCTCCTCCTTCTGCATTGGTTGGTGGAGATGACAGTCTCACCAATTTCAAGCTCGTCGCCTTCAACGAGAACATGGAAGTCGCATTCTTCGAGGAACTTACCTTTAATATCACAAATAATGTTCCAGGTTATACATTCGACAATCAAAACAGTAGGGACACGGTGCTTACAAACCTGAACGCAATCGTTGCGCAAGAAAAACTGCATTCACTAAATGCTGAGAAAGCTATCGTTCGTTTCACCAATGATACCAATGCTATCATTCAACCATGTCAATACAATTTCGATGTCACAAACTTTGAGCAAGCCATAGCTACAGCATCTCTCTTCACAGATGTAACCATGGGTACTTTGGGAGATATCCAAACCGTATTCGGCACAAATGGTGATTCCAAATTCATCCGTGGTGTTGCAGCATCCCTCGGACAAGAAGGAGAACAAAATGGATATTTCCGACAAATCCTTCACAAAATTCCATCCGCTCTTCCTTTCCTGACAGCTAGCACTAGAGATTTCGCATTCAGTGCTTTGAACCAAAATTTCGTCGTGGAAGGTACCTGTCCAAACAGCGATACCATCCCTCTCAAGACCTTCCAAAAACTCACTGCTTCTCAACCCGATACCATCGATTCTGACACCATCATCACGTTTTCATTCCAGCTCACCGCAGATCAAGACTACAACACCACTTGGGGAGAAAAATGCAAGGGGCTCTCGCTCGTCTATATCAATCAGCAGAATAAACCTGTTGTTCAACCATTCGAAAGTATCAGCTTACAAGCAGATGGGAAAACGGTTGTTTTTACTGCTAAATTTGAATTCGATGCCGGTGCTGCTAATGGTGCTACGGGTAATGGCTTGACTTTGGCGGCTTTGGCGAAGGGCTCGAATTTTGCTAATGCGTTGGAGGTTTCTAATAATGCGGTTTATGGACCGGCACCCATTGAGATCAATTAATTGGATTGGGTTAGAAGTTAATGGGAATGAGGGGACTGGGTATTCTGAAGATTCGGCATAGCATAGCATAGCGTGGCGTTTTTTGGACTTTTCTTCTGGGCTTAGGATTTACTTTGTGAAGATTTCTTTGCATTGGACGGTGTTGGCTTCGTTCTTTTCATGCCTTTTTATGGAAACCTGTCTTTACTTTCCGAATGATTTTCCTGGCTCTTGATGTATGATTTACGATTTCACGACTTCAATTCAATATGAAGATGCTTTTTTAGATTTTAGATGGAGTGATGTTTATTCATCTACGTATCTTAATATAATCGTGCTTCTACCAATATCAATCTCCTACTTTACTCTTCGTGTGAATCTGAAATAGAACGATTGCTTTGACTGAGTATGCCTTCTCGAATAGATCAAGTTTTTATTAGCATATAAATATATCATATTCCCCTATCCTCAACATCGACAAACTCAACTTTTCAGATGCAGCATACCCTCCATATATACATTCAAACACCTTCAACAACACAAAATACAGTAAGTTACCACCCCATAACACTCAACACCCACATCCCAAGCGCCATCCACAATCCCCAATCCCCAACCCGAAGCTCCTCCCTCCCTTCCATCCCTATCCCCTCTTACTCCCACCTCAATCCTCATCCCCACACTCTCTAGACCATCCCCGGAGACCATCATCCATCCATATAAAGATCCCCAATCATCTCCATCCCATCACCAAGAAATTCAATATCCAATATTCAGTATCTCTCATCCATCATCAATTCCGCTACCCCCCTCGCTGCCGAATATCAGACAAGCCAGATCCACCTCCAACAACCTCTATCTCTCTACCTATTACACCCCATCCATATCCCATCCAATCTCAAATCAACCCCCCCTCCCCTCCCCAAAATCATACCCCCATCCCTCCATTTCCATCTCTTAATTTCTCCTACATCACGAGATGAGCGGTTACCGTGTATACACGTGTACAGATGTACATATATCCTAACAATCAGCCATCATAAAAACATTCAAATCCCTTCCCCTAGTGCATAGTACAAGTTACCTAGTAGGTTATAACTAAACAACCATCCCAAAATCCCCAAAATCCCAAACCTCTAAGGTTACAGCAACCCATTCATCCATATTCATCATGCATTCATAATCCTCACTCACCACCAAGTAACCAACAGCAACATCCCAAAACCTCCAAACCACCCCACGTGATTCTTCAGTAAACGAAAGAAAAAAAAAACTCCCCATCACGTGAAACTCACGTTCTCGCTTCCAATCCCAACTGAATAAATCCGAAGTGCGTGCTGAGTGAGAGTCCGTCCGTCCTCAACCCTTATCGATAGATAACCAACCAAAAAAATAACGGATCCCTCCCTTCAACAACCACACCACACCCCCGAAACACCAAGTGAAAAATTTTCACCCGAGATATCCCGAAAGAAAAAAAGGTAAACAAATCAACACATACATAGGTACAAACATACATGCGTACATACATACATACGTACGTACCTACTGGCGGTTGGGAAATCCCCCAGCCGCGGCCCCAGATACTCCAAGACCCGAGTCTAAGTTCTAGATTAATAAAATCGCAACATGCATAGCACAGGCAAAAGAGGGATAGGTATACATTCTTCATTGATAGTTTACAGGAACTACCCTTTGAGAAAGGCAATTCGTCATCTGTCTGTATGTTCGTCTAATCTAGAAATTCTATGCTCTAATATAATGAGGAGAGAGGAAATCCGTCTATAAGAAGCATCGATTTTTCTATATCATCGATCCAAACCATCTATATGCAACTGCATGCAATGCCCGTGATGTAACAATGCACCGTTGATCTATACCACCACCTTCATTCCCCATCTCCATCCACCATATTTATACACACCCCCTCCCCATTTCATCAAGACATGACGACATATTTACAAGAACTTGGCCATCATAGCAACCATGAGATCGAAAAGACCGATGGCCTCGACGAAAGCGAAACCCAAAATGGCGTAAGAGAAGAGTTGACCACGCATGCTTGGGTTACGGGCAACGGCTTGCAAGAGAGCAGCGAAGACGAGACCGATACCAACACCGGCACCAGCAAGACCGATAGCGGCACCTCCCATACCGAGGTTTTGGGAAGCTTGAACGAGAGCGTTGGCCATTTCAGAGGAGTATGGGCGGGCAGAGATTTGGGTGGTCTTGGAGAGGATTTGGCTGGTTTGTTGACGCTTGACGGCTTGGAAAGCAGTCTTGGAGGACTTGCTCATGGCTGTGTGGGGAAGAAAAATTTGTTAGCGAGGTGTTCTTTATCCATTGAATTTTGACGATAGGTATGTGATGGAGACGATGATAGATGTATCGAATCGTAATACAATTGAAGCTATATCGATAGCTATTGAAGCTTGACGAAACCTCAATTGATAATTGACAACATGAAGGTATCAAAAGCTTAAAGCTTACCAGTGAAGGTACGTTGAGCACCAAGGTTGGATCGAACCATTGGGCGGGCAACCTTTGCGGAGGCAGATCCCATGAGGGAAGCCATCTTAGGAGCAACACGAGCGGCCATTGTATTGATGTGTATGAAGTAACTCAAAAATGAGGTTTTTGGAGATAGGTGTATGAGTGGAGATGGAAGACTTCGAGTGTTGACAAGCAAAAGAAGTTTTGTGACTTGGTGTGAGAGTGGGAAAGAATGGGAAGGGCGGAAGGAGAATCAAGAAAAAATGAGCTAAGGACACCTTTTCTGATCTAGCTCCGTTTGAAAGTCGGTGTCAACTAATTGTTCCTGAATATTCAGGAAATTCCCAATCATAAAGAGTGAATATGGATCGTGCCGTCACTAATCTTCAAAATTTTAATAGTAATATGTGGGTTAGCCCGCTTGATTTACGATATCCTCCTATCAGAGTTGGTGTAACAGCACCATGACCGAAATGCAAGGCTGAGAGATTTATCTCGTCCGATATCAACAACGGCGCTACGTGGTAAAAGGGTATAAAAAGAAAGAAAGTGGATTCCGAGCAAGATATCTTCAAGAGAAAATACCGGAATGGTGGGGATATTACCAAAAACAACCATTCTCGGATTGAAATTGGATATTTAATTTCCACTTGGGTAGAGGGGCCCGGATAGAGAGTGCATTGTAGACTTTAAACTTTCGCAACTAATCGAGCTGATCTCATCAAACCGTTGAATGATCAATCTCACATAAGAGTTTTATACTTAGTTACACGACAAGTCTAACAAGAAAAAGTAAGAACATTTTATGAAGAAAACAATTAAACTCAATTCACTTGAATCGGTTCTTGCTAATTCCAGTACTGTCTGACCACCCGATGTTATTCTTTGCCTCTCTCTCTCTCGGGATTCCTGGGGATTGAGTGCGTGTCGTCAATACTTTTTTGACTGACGTTGAGTTTTCATCCCTGCTCACAAAACTTGTCACACAGTAGAATCTTACCCGAGACTTTTTACGCCAGCTATCGTGCGCACCAAAAAATGCCACGAGTCATTTTGCACAATTGAAATCCCACTTTTTATAAGAGCAGATAAATCACAAGAAAGGTCGAATTAGGAAATCGATCTTGATGATGGATCATGAATTGACCAGTAGAAAGAGTCCTTCTAGCCCATGATTTTCGATTTGTTTGGATGGAATTGTTGCGTTGGTTGTTGTCTTGGCCCCTGAATCCCGTCGGAAGATTTCGGATTTTTTTTCTGGAGGCAGTAAGACAGTTTGGTAAGATTTATATGTGAATCTGATGTGGCTTTCCATTTCTCTGTAATTTCATATTAGCCATGTCAGAATATAGCATTCCTTTTGACTAGCTATATACTACGATATAGATTAAGGATTCTTGAGCTGGAAGAGTAATGAACTTTGAGATTCGGAACAATTCTGCCCACTTTCAACCATTTCATCAATAAAAAGGTGTAAAATTTCAGAAGTGGGGGGAGCTTCTTCGTGGGGGTAAACCCAATTTTTAAGATCCTGAATGGATCTAGCTGCTAGCAGGGGAGTTGAAGAGTCTGATAAGGCTTGTACCACTAGAATATTAAGCAAGTGTCCGCCACTGAGAGGGCACTACTTATTGAAACCAGGACCCAGAAGAAATCGTTTCCCATGCTTATTTTCGGAAAATGAAGAAAAGGCATACTGCATAACGATTCCTTCACGTGTATACAAGTATATGCCCACTCGATTAGATATCGCCGTCAAGACCGTTTCTTGCTCTGGATATGTGAACCACGAAACATAAACGAAGATCGATTGAGTGATTCGATAGGGAGGATGTGGATTGTTTGACTGGACTATCGAACTGGTGTGATTGCTAGAAAATTGTCTGCCGAGCGCTGCGGGCAAGGCCTGGGATCGATATATTTTATAGTGTCTTTCGCTTTCATAGGGATAGATTCCGGGTTCCGTTTCTGCCGATCGACATTCCATCATCAATAACGAGGACAACCTGCGGTCCCTTCAAGAACATACATTATCGCATATATTAGCTTTCGAAAACAAAACAAGAGAGAGGAAGAAGAGGATGCTTTGACTTACAGGTTCCTGAACGACAACATCTATTCAAAATTCATCACGACGATGAGTTTCTTCAATGATAGGTGCCCGTGAAGGTCTATCTATCGTACTTGCATTGAAGTTCGTATTCATACTCGAGGTTCATTCTCAACATTGAAATGAAATGAATCGTATGGGCAAAGATTCCATGGCATAGTATAACATTTTTCGGGATAGATTTCAGTTGCATGTACTTGAAATACTTAGATGTGAAATCAAACGACCCGGTCAACTCTTTCGACTCCGAATACTGCGGTGGAAGTTTCAATGGGGGTGGATGTGAGGCAAGTGTTTCGAGATGTTGAAATATTCTTTCAAGAGGCGATTCCGAATATAAGATTCTCACAAACCGCTCGACGTTTTCATGATGGATGGAGGAAAATCAGAAGTTGAGGTTTGAAATTGATGTTTCTCTTCTCATTCCCCCCCTTGCCTTACCCCATGCATGTTACATCGCATATGAGACGACTTTCGTGCGGGGTAATCCATTTCGAGTAACCACATCACGTGGGACGACGTGGCCTGGGTAAAGTCGTACTTCCCCCTTCCTCCTTCCCCCTAGGAGTTACGGAGACCACAAATTCATTCTTGGCGGCAATGCTTTGCTATCGCAGTTCCTGTCTTTGATATCTATCAAGATTCATGGGAATCCGACAAAAATGATAGAGTTAGACCCCCTCTCGAAGAATTGAAGTGTGGTTGTGGCGCTGACAGGAGAGACTGGATCTCCAAAGACTCGATCAAGTAAGCACAAACTTTTGCGCACCCGGAAATGTGAGTTTGACGTTTAAATGCAGAGAGGGTATGTCAAACCTCCCATCATTCGTTTTATTGCACGGATTTCCTTTAGTTCATGAAAGTTTTCAACGTCGAGAATCACTTCTCGACCACTTTCGTATTGCTTGGCGTAAGACTTGGTCTTGACCATTGGTTTATCACGGCGCTCAAATTCCTCCTGTCTAATTCGAAGCGGAATCTGGGGCCGCGATGGGTATTGTGGAGTTTCTGCAGGCGATGCATATTCCACTGCGGGCTGACAACGAATCAAGTCGGATTAATCAAAGTCAGAATCCCGAAAGGTTTCGAGCCTCAAGAAGCAGCACGAACGAATGCACAATGCAGAAGAGAGAAACAACCTGTGAGGTAGCGAGGTGGACCATGAAGTCCTCAAAGAATGCGCTATTCTTGGGTTCACGCCATTTGCGTCCTTATTTCATCAAGCCCCAAAGCGTCCTCCAATTCCGGCACTCCGCCAAACCTTTGAATGAATCGCACCTATAGGATACGATTCGCAAAATGTGATTTGAGTGATTGGGTTGGGGATCCAATATATGATTGCTGTACCTTCATCATCGAAGTTGAGAATGTTGATTCTGGGCAGTCTGGAACCACACAAGCGACCTATGCAATTTTCAACTTCTCACGTTTCCCCGGATGATCAAAATGAAAGCTGAGAAAACATCGATTTTACCCGCCGTTAGCCGCTCCGCTTCGCGTTTCGTTTCTCATGACATCCATCGCCGCCATATTCGATTCGGCACAGCCACAAATATTCACTTCCTCCTCATCAAACAAAAAAGAATACAATATAGTTTCTGATACAACCGCTCCTTGAAAACACTACCAAGTTCAAGTTCATGGTCTAGTGGTCAAATACGCGCTTCGCGAAATTCATGAGAATGATTTCGTTAACAAATTCTCTAGTTCAATCCCTGGAGGTCGACCACTAAGACGCGTACAATGCTCTCAAGAACCATGGGTCATTAGGGGAGAAAAAGGATAGGTATACTTGTAGACCGTAAACCTTCCCCCAATTACTAACCCTTTAAAAGCTATAGGTAGGGCGACTTGTGTAGCGGCGATCCCCACTGTGGTGCAGTAAGCTGGCGCAGGCCTGCTACGGGTTGATCCTCGTGAATGGTGGTCAATTTGGGATATGTGGTGGAAAAGTGAGTATATCCGCCCCTAGTCCTTGACACTGACCATGGACCTGAACTTGACATCTTTTTTTTGCCTTTTTTTCTCCTTTTTTTTCTTGCTTCCAGGCGCATATATGCATACATACATATACATACATACACATCATCCCAGCCTCTGCTCGAAGTATCGCAGGATATATTTCTCGATATCCCGCTCTATATCTGAGAGTAAGATTCGCTGCCCGCATTCAATTATTAAAGTGGATACCTCCATCTCAAATATGAAATTCACTCGATAACTTGTCTTCATTTTCAAACATTTTGTGCGTGCTCGCAAGTGATGAGTCCGTTTTGTTGAGATCATAAAATACCTTCTAGAGCAGCGAAATTTCGATTAATCTCGACTTTTCAAACAACAATTCTCCGCAGTCTCTCAGGTTTGAGCGCACGGAATTTCACGAAATTTGTGGAGTCTTTCGATATGCTGTCATAATTTGCTGAAACGTTTATGCTCATGTCACCTACTATCGTCTGATCTAGACCTCCAATTCATCTCAAGCCTGCCTCAACATATAAGTTTGCGATTCTGTTTCGCAGATGAAAACCGGTTATTCGTTTCATCTTGAATCTTGAATCTTCCGATAACCTGGTATTTTCTACATTCATTTGAAGTCATCAATTTTCCTCTTTTCTATGTAACTTACAGCCTCTGCATTTATACAAGTAATGAGCAAGCAGAATCAATCATAATCGTTAGGTATCGAACATCTCATATTTTATACAAGAATTCATACTTCTATAAATAGTTTCAAACTCCACATCTAGTTCGTAGATGGGAATCATAAATCAGGGTCGGACGTTTAGATTAGCGAGAGAGGGTCAAACATCACTGAGGGGCTATACATTTATGAAGGCATAAACTTTAATATATCGGATGCATCTACCACTTCCTTCAATGCTCAGTGACATTCCAATTCATTTAATTGATTGTTCTGGGTTGTTCTATTTTCTGATCATCAAAATGACGATCTATTTCGCTGTTTGTAGTGTAATGTACATTTCTAAAAAGAATGATTGAGGATAGGTAGTGGTATCAATAACCTTTTAAACTCCATCCCCTGATGTACATATATTCATCATTCAACGTCCGGCGTTACCTTCCTATCCGTGTGAAATGCATTCTTCCATATAAAATCCCATGCGCCGTATCGTCAATTCCCGCTTGCTAAAGTGATGTTGAAGAAACAAATGAGAGATATTCTTTGCGCTGTATCGTGAGAGGAAAAGTCGAGAGAAAAAAAAAATCTAGAATTTTTGATGAAAAGCGCTTCTAGCAACTTTACTCCTCAATCTCTTTCCAAAAATATACATGGGAATCGCAAATGCCGACACGGCAAGATTGGCAATCGCCACAGTGGTAAAAACACTCTTCGCACCACTTGCTTCAAACCATCCGTTCACAAAATCGCTCATAACCAGCGACAAAACCGCCTTGATGAAATTCATCGTAACGAACGCTTGTGGTGCCAAGCGATTGTGACAATCCATAACGTATGTAAACATACTACTCGTCGCAAACGGAACTGCGAAGGTCTGGACGCCCAGAAAGGCAATGGGGATGTAGATGGATGCGCCTGCTGCGACGGAATATCCAAAGCCGATATATGCGACGGTGGAAAGCGAAGCCGCGACGAACATGAGCACGAGACGGAATTCGGGTTCGTAGATACCGTTGTTGTGGCGGGTCATCCATTGGACGACGAAATCGGCGCAGTATCCGGATACTAGGGTGCCGACGAGTCCGACGCCGAAGAGAGGGAGGTTGGTAAGGCCGATGGCGGAAGTGGAGAGGTTGTATGGAGGTGCGCTGAAGATGGTGTCTTGGAGTAAGGCAATGAGGGTTAGACCGGCGGCGTAGAATGAATAGGTAAAGGCGCTGAATATGACGGCGGGGAAAGTAACGAGCGGGATGGGTTTGGCGGCGAGTGCCCAGAAACTAGCTTGCGAGATGCGACCGTTGAAGATGGAGAGACGTTCTCCGAAGGATTTCTTCACGTCTGGTAGGACGATTTCGTAGACTCGGCCTTCGGTTTTGTCGACGATGAGTTGGGTAGGAGGATCGGTTTGGGGAATGTAGAGGGTTTCGGGGACGAAGAAATACATGGCGGGGATAATCATGGCGTAGATGCAAGCGCAGATTCCAAAGGTGAATTTGAATCCTAAGGATTGGATGATGAAACTTGCGATGAGTTGGCTGCAGGTAATTAGTATTTGGAAGCGGAATGTTTATGTTAACATTGCGGACTAAACATACCCAAGCTTAACACCACCCATAACGAACAAATTCCACACACTCAACATCTTACCCTTCTCATGGACAAAGAAGATCTCTGAAACCGTTGCGCTGACGAGTGTCTCTAAGGGAGAAGCACAGAAACCTTGAACTGCTCGCATTATGGAAAGCGACATGAAACTGTTGGAAAAGAAACCCCAGATATTGGTGGCCAACAATCCAATAGTAGACACAATGAAAACTGGACGTTTTCCCCATACGGCTGCTGCTGCGGCAGTGAAGAATGTACCGGAACCAGTTGTAAGTTGCATGATTCCGACAATGTTGAAAGAGACCTGATCTGTGGTGACATTGAAAGCTGTTGCTATATCTTCGGAACCGGTAGTAATCATTGGACCGAGACTACAAATTGGTATTAGATTGGACTATATATCTAACGGGGGTAGATAGTACATACGAGACAGTGACACCTGCAGTCAAGGCTAAGATGAGAAGAATGGCCATTTTTGTAGCAGTAGTCCTAACAACATGTTAGTGGAAAGACTTTCTGGTAATAGTAACATGCAAACATACCAATTGAGCGGATCATTAGGACTTTCAGAAGGTTGAGGGTTGAGAACAATCTCACCCCTCTTCTTTGGCTCAACGTAATCCCAATTCGCTTCTTTTGCTAATATGAAGTCAGTAAGTTCGGCTAGTTCCACAAAGATTGAATACACTCACATGAACCATCAGCTCCAGCAGTATTTTCACCAAGATTTACGGTTCCAGGAATATTTGGATACCTTGG